AATATATGATAGGGTTACCTGATATTGTAATTATCATTGATCAGCACGAAGAATATACAACCCTACGAGAGTGTATCACTTTGGGAATTCCAACAATTTGTTTAATCGATACAAATTGTGATCCTCATCTTGCAGATATTTCGATTCTAGCAAATGATGATGCTATATCTTAAGGGCAAAGGCTGCTTGAGAAAAGTAGATTTTTGAAACACCTTATTATCCTTTCAAGTTGGGAATTATGTCTCTTTCCATATAATAACAATCACCGGTGTGAATGTGAATGCTACAAATCGAAAGAATCACTCAAGACCACGGCTCCAACATCAACTATTTGTTGTATATTGTTCAACATCAATAAGAACCAAGTGTGGAATGAACAAAACAATTGGAAGCCAAAACTTGGCCTATGCAAGAAGCCATGTGACCGCATGGCCGTATGCAGAAATCTAGCCGCATGCTAGACTTGAACCATGCAACCGCATGGTGTTGAACCATGCAGTCTCATGGTAGTTTTTTAGTGACGTTGGAGGTCGTTTTGGTATGAATTATGATGGCTTTTGGGATGTTTCTTCCAACTTTTTAGCATGTTTTGACACCAATTCATGGACATTGAGTGAGGCCTATAAATAGGTCATGGAAAATCAATGTAAAAATGTTGAAATCATAAGAAAAATATTTGATTACATTTGTGATCATAATCGTCATTCCAAAAAGAAGAAATCAATGTCTTCTGATTTAATAATCCCTTTGCGTTCTTCAAATTTTGAAGAATTTATACAAGTGTTAAAGTATTAATTCTCTATAATGCTTGATCAATCCTTCAAACCGTTTGCTGCGAGACCCTTTAAGCAGCAAAATGTGTATTCAAGAGGGGGCAAATATCATTTGAGGACAACGATATAATGTCATGTTTGAGCATTTTGTACTCATTATGGTTTTCTTCTTATTTTCATCTTCCTAATTATTTTTTATATCTTGTTTCTTCTCCAAATCCTGGTGATGAAAATTTCCCAACAATTTCAAACGATATTTTGGCGATAGAGAATGAAAGCACTTCAGCGATGATCATGTTGGTGGATCGAGATCTTGTTCATGTGGACTGCTTGATGGCACTAACTTCACAGGATGGTTTGATTTGTAGAAAGACATGAATCCAGACTCTTGTATTCAAATTCGGTAAGTCGAAATTGCGTTTAAATTTCTCGGTATTATATTCCTCAACAATCTTAAGATGAATCATTTTCATTGTGCATGTTAGAATTTTGTTAGATAAATTACGTGGATATTGACTGCAAACACACTAGTATTTTACTCACAAATTTGGTTATGATTTATGTTAATGGAAAAAGACAAATCTCATGTAAGAGTGCATTAAACTTTTATGGCCAAACGGTGGCTGTTGATGTAAAAGAATATATGATGTGAATAGTGGTTTTATGCTTGAATTTTGGCCATACTTTGAATATTCTGGTTTGTAGAATTTTCTCTGTATAACCCAACAACAAACTATTATTAGATGCAAAGGGATGCTTCAATTTGAATAAATCAGTGTGTATATCTTCAATCGACAGTTAAATTCAATTATAGATTTAATGAAAGTGCACTCCCTTTCATACATTGGAACCCAACAATGGAAATCTGGTGAATTCATGGAAATAGTTTCTATTAAAAAATCTAATCATATATTTTGCATCCCTATTGGTTGTCAGTTCAATTTGGAGATGAATCTGTGATGATTGAATGCACAAAGTAGATAGTGAGTTTCATATTGCTTTATGGACAAACAAATATGGAATTCTACTTAGTATATTTGTTCTGAATTTTAAACTCATATGCCAATAGTTGTTTTAAAACTGCCTTTATTCAAAGTTGTATTATCAGTAAATAATATTGCAACAAAGTTATGAGTAACTTCTGGAATGCATTTTCATTCCTAGCATGTGTGTGCATTTTCGGAATATCCACAATTTTAATTGTTGGCAATTTATTTTCTGGCACCTTTCCAGTTCATATGATGACAATGTTTGGGGTCAAAGTTGATATGATAATTAGTTGTGAAATTCATAACACATTTTGATATTCATGAATGACATGCATATTTGTGTATTGTATTGAAAGTATAACTTTTCACAATGCAGTTGCGTTCATGCCTATTCATTTACTTGAATTTTAAAGGAAAATAGTTGAGATAAGTTATGTTTTGATTTTATATATTTTCCTTGTTTGACTAACATTTGTGGAAGTTAAGAATATCATTAATTCTTGTTTGGAAGGAAATCAAGAGATTTGTCACTTCAATTATTTGTCCACAACACGAGAATGAATGTATAATTGTTTGAAATATGAGTGTGATGAATTGGATATAGTTGAGACTAATACAAGTCAACAAATGGATAGAAAGGAGAAAATTTACTCCTAACAATTATACATGCATAAATATTGGAAGAACGCCAATTATTTGGTTTCATGAACTATTTCTCTTATTGGAATATGAAAATGGCATGGTAAATCAGTTGGTTAAATTTTCATATTTGGTTGAAAATTATACTAACTTTGATTCATGATGATAGCCTCAATTAATTCTATGAAACTAAGTGAGATGATTTATGCAACATTGTATTTGCATATGAGCATGACAAAATGTGATTTTGTCCAGTTGTGAATAAGGTAAATATGTACCTTATTATTTGATATGATGTTCTCTTATGAATGTCACAAAAATGATAAATTGCTTTATATTTGAAGAAGTAGTAATTCTTGTAAATTAAGATACTTGACCTTCTTGATTGAATTTGATTTCAATCGTGGAGCCATTTGAGTTCGTGTATGTTTAAAAGCATTATCGCTTTATGAGTTGACCTTGATCAAATTGTGTGTGATCAAAATTAAAGATAGTTGGTTTGAAGTATAACGACTACTATCTGAAAATATCTAAACTTTCACAGATATTATCTAAGTGATAAGTAAATTAGACTATGAAAGAATTAATGAACTCTCAGTCCAAGTATAATCCCAAATATTGGGGTTAACATGTTGATAAGCTCCAAAATAACCCTAAATGTGGGGGTTAACATTGATGCTTGTGAACTTATATGACAAGTTCAAGACTTGTGGATACAATAATACAAAATTGCATATGAATTCCTAATTGAGGAACTATATGGGTAACTTAATATAAGAGTTACAATTCTCTAATCATAGAAAGATAACTATGAAGGAGAAAGGTAGAAAATCCTTATACAATTATAAGGTTAATATACACTAAGTCTAAAGTGGATGAAATGGATAAAAGCAGGTCATGGCGCTTGCAAAACCAATAGGAATATTTAAAGAATATTTATAAATTGAAGGTCATTATAATGATTCAATGATGATAAGTGAATAGCCAAGTATGAAATCCACAAATTAAAGTGATTGACTACTGTAATGGATAATAAAAAATTCTTCAACCATGTTTAGAAATCTGTAAAGCTTTAAACTAAAGCTAGTGAGAAAAATGGAGCTTCATAAAATGATTTCTTGGTGATGACAAGTTGTAATATCAAATGAATTGATTGTTGGCTAGCTACATTTGATAAGATACTAAGTCACATGTAATAGAAAGTCTAAACATATACGTCTTAGACGTGACTTCACAAGGAAATTATCAAAGGAAAAATAATATTCATAGAGAATTTAGCAGATCCTTTAACTAGACCACTAAATAAAAATTTAGTAGTGTTTACTTCGAGTAAGATGGGGTTGAAACTCCTAAATTACAAATGTCCACCAATGACAGAAATCCTACCTGTCATTACTCAAAAGGTAATTCACGAGTTCAAAGGGTAACAACAAGTCATTAGATGTGTAAAAAGTTGTAGCATTATTAAAATCCGCAATAACTGTATCCTAATCAAAATAATGCTAGTAAGTTACTGAAGTGAGATTTGAGCTTTAAGCTCTTAATGAAGTTTAGTGCTTAAAAACAAGTATTTCTAAAAGTAAAAAAGATACTGAAAGAACTTTACCTGAATTAACTTCGAGGTGGTGCTGCCTCAATAGAAAGGTGGAGTTTCTCTCTTAAAAGTTTGTTGAATAAGATGAGCGTAAGGCCATAAAAGCGCTAAGCGAGTTGAATAACTTGAGAACATGTAATACTTGTGTGTGTGTCCTGACTGATATTGTCACATGGAATAATTGGTTTATAACCTCATGCTAACTTTAAATCCAACTTTACTTTGTTTGGATTACACTATTATTAGATTCAAATCGAAAGATATTTAATCCTTAAGCATAAATATTGAATACTTTGAGTATGAGATCTTATTAAGCGTTGAACAAGTGGAGGATTGTTGTATATTGTTCAACATCAATAAGAACAAAGTGTGGAAAGAACAAAACAATTGGAAGCCGAAACTTGGCCTATGCGATCGCATACGCCAACAAGCCATGCCAGACTTGAACCATGTGACCGCAACCGCATGGTAGTATTTTAGTGACTGTTGGAGATCGTTTTTGTTTGAATTATGACGGTTTTTGGAATGTTTCTTGCAACTTTTCAGCACAGTTTTGGCACCAATTCCTAGACATTGATTGAGGCCTATAAATAGGCCATGGATAATCAATGTAAAGATGTTGAAATCATAAGAAAAACACTCTATTACACTTGTGATCATAATCTTCATTCCCAAATGAAGTAATCAAAGTCTTATTCATCTATATTCAATATTTCCTTTGTGTTCTTCAAATTTGGAGAATTTATACAAGTGCTTAAGTATTGATTCTCTATAAGGCTTGTCAATCTTTCAAACTGTTTGCCATGAAACCCTTTAAGCACCAAAATTTGTATTCGAGAGAGGACAAATATCGTTTGAGTACAACGATATAATGTCATGTTTGAGCCTTTTATACTATTATACTCATTATGATTTTCTTCTTATTTTCATCTTCTTGATTATTTTTTATATATTGTTTCTTTTCCAAACCCCGATGATGAAAATTTCCCAACAATATCTTTCAACTGGAGCAGTAAACCCTGGAGATAAATATAAATAAGGTTAAAAGTAAACAAAAACATAACCACAAGTACGTGTGATGTTGAATCTTACAGCCCCAAATAAGTGACTGCATGTATGTTCTCAATTTCCATCAAAAAGAATCTTATAATCATTACAGAAGCCTGAGATGTGAAGTATCATTTGATCTCTTGATTTGCCAACCGAGTTTCCAAGTGTGTTGTAGTACTGTGACAGACGAATCTTCTATGCAAATCTTATGCGACATTGCCGGACTGCATCCAAGGATGCCAGTCAGGAGACACTTGATTGGGACCGAGTGTGTGAAAATACCAATACAAGAAGATGCTGACGACGGGGTGCTTCTGACATTTATGTCACGAATTGACCCTTGGTTAATGGGTACTCGAGGAGACATCTCGTCATCAGCCTCGTTATCCCCAGTCGTAGTCACAATCTGAAGCCTGCTCTTCCCAGATTTCTTCCTTGAAAGCCCTTGCCGATTCCTGTGAAGCAAATCCCAATGGTGTGGCGGGAGGGATGGCCCATCTTGGTCGGGCATCAAATTTGAAGGAGCATGAGAACTGTGGTTTTGAAAGACCGGGTTCTCACTCTGTTCTGGTGGGGAGAAAACGGATTTATATTTTTCAGGCAATGCCAAAACTGTACCGTTTAGGAACTGAACCATCCGGAATTCCACCTGCCTCAGTGATTCCCCAGATGGTGCAGAAAAATCAGGCTGGAATCTCTCCATGAAGCTCATCGTTTCAGGTGTAAAAATTTCTGATCGGTGGCATCCTTCCCAGAGTCCCTGGCTCATCTCCACCAATGCATCTGAAGGTTGTATCCGTTCCTCCAAAAAATTTAACTCCTGCAAAGTTTGATCGTAGGACTCTTAGTTAATGAAGTTTAACACATACTTTATGGTGTTCTAAAAATACCACGAATCAAAACATTTTTCAGTTCACCTGACTCATTTTCAAATGGATTTATCAAACAAAAACTGAAATATTGAAAACAAAAGAAGAAGAACAAGCACAATCGAATGAAGTAATGTTAATGACTACGCAATCCTACATCGGGACAATGCTCAACAGAATATATGTTGCTTAAAATACCATGAGCGAAAATTGTTTTAGGACTTATTGCAATACAATTCTGATTTGTGGTCAGAGTGTCACCCCTTAAAGGTTCAATTTTTGGTCCTTGAGTTTTCATCCAAAACACTAAGAATAGATATCCAAGCTCCTATAAAGAATAGAACTCTCGCAACATTTATAAATTTTTACTTTTCCCAAGGAAAAAAATTTCAAGATACTTAGTAATTTGTCCCTCAAGTGTTTATAAACAATTTAAATTATAAATAAACAGAAATAAGTGGTAGATAAGTTGATGATACTTGTGGTCCCTCGAAATGGGTGGATAAAAAGTGACTTGGTGGCTAAAATTCATTTCATGTTATGTCAAAACTCAAAGCTATATAACATGCTTAAACTGGTATCATGAGGCATGTGGTAACAAATGTCCTTGCAGATAATCAAAGGAGGAGCAACTACTTGGGTACACCTCACAGAACAAACACCTCCTCCGCACATTCTGTCTTTTAGTATATGAAAAACTTGTTAATTTATCCAATTATCGATAAAAATCTTAACGTTTCTCCACAACAGGAAATAACTATCCTCCGCCATTCTTATATATGCTGAGGGAAATATCAACATCGGCTTACCTTGGGCAAAGAATATATGCAGAATATGATAAGATGAACCCCGATCAATGATCATAAAATATGTTTTTTATTTTTTTATTTTTTTCCAGGGAAAAAGAGCTAGGTCACTATAGATGGAAGAGTTGCTAATGCATGTATAATATCCGCACCCGAATTTTGGGGTCTAATTATTAGAATTGAAAATTTAGGGGCTCATTTGAGGGTTAATTCACCTTCTCAGACATTGTAGCAAACTTACTATAAATGCTAATTCCCACATGTTTTTGTTTTTAAAAATGGTTGAATTCTTAGTCAAACACTTATATAGAAAATTCTTGATATATGCTTTTTTTTTTTTTAATTACTTTGAGTGTCCAGACCAGCTTATGCGCACCTAGCCTAATCCCACAAGACTCTGAAGTTTACAGCCACCCTCATCTCAGTGGCTCTGAAGGGACTTGAAATGGTGACCATTGATGAGCAAACTCAAGATCTGACCATTAACCGACCCCTCTGGGTTAATTCTTGATATATGCTTGATTGACCAAACATAAGGTAATGTGAAGTGTGAATGCATGAATGTAGGAATGAGGGACAGATTCTTACTCATTTCACAAATTTTAAGAAACAATTTCCACCATCATAAGTTTTTCCTTAATGATGCATACCTAGTTTTGTCCTATTTAAACCCCTCATTCACATTCATAAGCTACCACTCATTATTATTTTTCAATCTTAATAATATACACATATATACGTTTATAAGTCGAGGTGGAAATTGTAGAGGGATCAAGTCTCTATTACTCTTTCTTTCAAATTTTACCATAAGCACGCTGCCTATGGTAGAAGGAATTCAACGAGGCCTTTCTGAAAAAGTACTACCTCACAAGTATCCAAAATCGGAAGAAGGTTGAGTTTCTCACTTTGACTAAAGGCTCAATGACGTTGATGGAGTACAAGCAGAAGTTTGAAGAGTTGGTTCATATGCTCCCGAGTTTGTGGATACAGAGGACAAGAAGGCGACACATTTTGAGTAGGGTTTGAGGGATAATTTGAAACGGACTGTCATAGTGCTTCAGCATGAAAACTATCATGACGTGTTGGCAAGAGCACAATTGGCAGATTTCGAGAACCGCACTAGCGGGGAGGAAAAGTAGCATAATGGACAGTTAGAGAAGCAATAGTAGGTGGATAACAAGGGCAAAAGGAAAAAAATTTATGCCAAAAAGAGCAGAGGAAATTCAGCACAAGATAACAACAAGAGTTACCCGCGCTATGGAAAATATTAGAAGCATCATCAAGGAGCTTGCCTTTTGGGAATGAATTTATGTCAGTGTGGAGGACAAGGACTCAACTCGGTATTGCCCTAAGTACAGGAGCAACCAACAAAGGCCATAGGAGAACAACCAACATAGACAAGGCCATAAACCACGAGGACATGCTAAGGTTTATACACTAGCAGGGCAGGAGGATCAGAATCGAAATTTCTTGATAGGTAAAGTCCTCATATCCGACTTATGTATTGATTGATTCTGATGCAACTAACTTCTTTATAGCCCCTAAGTTTCTATGTAAACTGGATATTATGGTTGAATATGCACAATTCCCTTTAGTAGTGATGATGTCCACTGGGGATATAGTGAATATTAATCACATAGTTAGAATGACAAGAGTAAAAATTGAAGGTAAATCATTGGAGGCGGAATTGTATACATTAGATATGGACGAGTTCGATGTCATTCTTGGAATGAACTGGCTATCCAAGAATCACGTGATAATTCGTTGTTTTGAAAAAGAGGTGATTTTCTAAAGACCAGGGGAAGAGAGACTTTGATTATCTCTGGCTTGAGGTGAAATCTTACCCCGCATTTTGTCTGCATTGAAAGCTCGATAGATTGTACCATTAGAAAACACTACGGGACTTCTGATGTCCGTATTAAGTAAGAAAGAGAACAATAGATTAACAGTCAACGATGTTAGGGTGGTATGTGAATATCTAGAAGTCTTCCTCGAGAAGTTGCGTGGCATGCCACCAGAATGAGAGGTAGAATTCACAATTGACCTTACTCCCGGCTCAGCAACTATCTCCAAAGCCCCGTATAGAATGGCACCCAAAGAATTACAAAAATTGATGGCACGGTTGGAGGAAATATTGGACAGAGGTTTCATCCGGCCCAATGTATCGCCATGGGAAGCATCGGTGCTATTTGTTAAAAGGAAGAATGGATCGATGAGGATGTGCATCGATTATAGATAATTGAATAGAATCACTATCAAGACTAAGCATCCTCTTCCCAGGATTGAGGATTTGTTTTATCAGCTCAGAGGTGCAGTGGTATTTCCAAAATTGATTTAAGGTCTAGTTATCATCAATTGAGAATAAAAACTAGTGATATCCCTAAGACCGCTTTTAGAACTCGGTATGGACACTACGAGTTCTTAGTTATGCCATTCGGACTAATTAATGCTCCTAGAGTCTTTATGGATTTGATGAACCACGTTTTCCACAAGTGTCTGGATCAATTTGTTATCGTGTTCATCGATGATATCCTGATTTACTCGAGAAGTAATGAGGAATATGATGAACATTTAAGGATTGTGTTGGAGGTTTTAAAGATGGAGAAGCTCTATCCCAAGTTCAAAAAGTGTGAGTTTTTGCTGAAGCGGGTAGCATTCCTTGGACTTATTGTCACAGCTTGAGGGATAGAGTTGGACCCTAGTAAAGTGAAGGCAATGTTGAATTGGTCATCGCTAACCAATGTAGAAGAAATTCGTAGTTTCTTGGGCTTAGCAGAACACTACTGGAGGTTCATTTAAGGATTCTCCAAAATGTCTGAACTGCTAACACAATTAACACGCAAGGGTGTGAAGTTTAACTAGACAGAGAAGTGTGAACAAAGCATTAAGGAATTATAACAAAAATAGGTAAACGCACTAGTGTTAACCATACCCAACGGGTCAGATGGTTTTGTGATATATAGTGATGCTTTGAAACAAGGTTTGAGATGTGTCTCAATGCAGCACGACAAAATGATTGCCTGCCTATGCATTAAGACAATTAAAACTACATGAACAAAGCTACCCTATGCACAACCTAGAACTTGCAGTGGTGATCCATACATTAAAAATTTGGAGGCACTATCTTTACGGAGGCAAATGTAACATTTATATAGACCACAAGAGCCTCAAGTACATCTTCACCCAGAAGGAGTTGAATATGAGACAGAGAAGGTGGCTTGAATTAGTTAAAGATTACCATTGTGAAATTCATTATCACCTAGTCAAGGCGAATGTGGTAGCTGATGCCTTGAGTCGGAAAACGGCAAGTTAATTAGCTATGCTAACTATGCATGAACCACTATGGAGAGAATTTGAGAGAATGAATCTAGAGGTTGTCACCACTCAATCAGATATGGTCACTCGAGTAGCAGCTCTCTCTATTCTACCCACACTTGTGATAGAATTAAAGGACATCAAAAGGATGATCAGTCCTTTGAGTACATCAAGTCTAAAATTAACTCACAAAAGTGGAAAGATTTCACCATAGCTGAAGATAAAGCATTATATTATCAAGAGCAGATGTGTGTACCGATTTTCGAGGAATTGAAAAGAGATATTATAGTGGAGGCTCACTCCTCTCCTTATTCAGTACGCCCAGGAAGCACAAAAATGTACAAGGATTTTGAACGCAATATTTTAGTGGAAAGGCATGAAGAGGGATATAGGCGAGTATGTTCAGAAATGTTTGGTGTGTCAGCAAGTGAAGGCCGAACACCAACGACCGTCAGGGTTACTTGAACCATTGGAAGCCTAGAGTGGAAGTACAAGCATGTAACTATGGACTTCGTGATTGATTTTCCAAAGTCAACAAGAGGTCATGATGCTATTTAGGTTATAGTGGATCGACTCACCAAATCAGCTCATTTCTTGCCGGTTCGAATAACGTTTACTATGGATCAATACACGCAGTTATATGTGAATAAGATAGTAAGTTACATGGTCCGCCTTTTTCTATTGTATCGGATAGAGATCCAAAGCTCACATCGAACTTTTGGAAAAGTCTACATCGAGTTATGAAATCTAAACTAAAGTTTAGCACAGCATTCCATCCTCAGACGGATGAGCAGTCTAAGCGGAAAATTCAAACATTGGAGAACATGCTTCGGACATGCATACTTGAGTTTGGGGAACAATGGGAGAAGCATTTACCTTTAGTTGAATTCTTATACAACAATAACTATCACACTTCAATTGAAATGGCATCATACGAGGCATTGTATGGGAGAAAGTGTAGATCACCAGTTCATTGAGATGAAGTCAGTGAGCGAAAGAGGCCAGAGATTATTGAGCAGACTGTACATGCAATTGAAAAAATTCGTGCCAGCATGAAAAGTACTCAGGATAGACAAAAGAGTTATGCAGATAGAAAGAGAAAGGGACTAGAATTTTCAGTTGGTGATAAGGTATTCCTCAAAGTGGCAGCGATGAAAGGAGTGCCACGTTTTGGCATGAAGGGCAAGTTACGACCAAGGTTTACTGGCCCGTTTGAGATCTTGCAACGTATTAGGGACGTCCCATATCAATTAGCGTTACCTCTTGAACTTTAAGCTGTACATGACGTCTTCCATGTGTCAATGCTTAGAAAGTATGTCCATGGTCCAAGTCATGTGGTCAACTATCGGTCTATTGAATTACAGCAAGATTTAAGCTATGAAGAAATACCAATAAGAATTATTAATCAGAAATTTCAAGCCCTTTGGAACAAAGTGATCCCGCTAATAAAAGTACAGTGGCGAAATCACTCGGCTGAAGAGGTTACGTGGGACGAGAGGTGGAGATACGGGCTAAGTATCCACAACTCTACAATGAATTCCAAGGCAAATTTCGAGAACGAAATTTATTTTTAGGAAAGTAGATTATAATACCCACAACAGAATTTCTGGGTCTAATTATTAGAATTGAAAATTTAGGGGCTCATTTGAAGGTTAATCCATCTTCTAGGACCTTGTAAAAAACTTACTATAAATGCTAATTCCTGCATATTTTTGTTTTTAAAAAAGGTTGAATTCGTTGTCAAACACTTATATAAAAAATTTCCGATACATATTTGATTAACCAAACATAAGGTAATGTATAGTGTAAATATAAAAATATATGAATGAGGAATAGATTCTTGCTCATTTCATAAATTTCAAGGAACAATTTCCATCATCATGAGTTTTTCCTTAATAATGTATGCCTAGCTTGTTCTATTTAAACCTCTCATTCACATTTACATGCTAACACTCACTATTATCTTTTAGTCTAAATAATATACACATATACGTTCATAAGCCGAGATGGAAATTGTAGAGGGATCAAGTCTCTATTAATCTTTCTTTCAAATTTCAGCGTAAGTACGCTATCTATGTTGGATTACTATTATGTTATGAATTTCAAAAAAATTATCATGGGTCCCATATGGTATGATATGATTATGATTATATTAAGGGGACCAAATTTTAGTACAGCTACACATAAGAATTCTAACCACCTATGCATTAAAATTCTTGTGTCTCTATTATGTTGAATATGATTATTATGCTCCTTTAAGTTATACAAGATAATAATTCATGACGTATTTATCGAGATTTTATAAATCTTACTCTATGATAATTCACCATTTCAGGCAATTCATGGTTCGAGGCAGTCAACAGGCTAGAATTAATAAATTATTTTGTGTTTAAAACACAACTTTGAATTTCCAGTTTAGTTGTTATATTGGAATTATTTTCTTTATTTATTTTTCGTAGCTATGTGATAACACCATAATTTATTTACTTATTGAAGAAAAATAAAATTATTTCGCATTTTTATTTTAGTTCTTACATCTTATGTGACACTCAAATAATCAAGGATTCGAGTCGTCACAGCATGCGTGTACGGATCTTGTCCGTGCCATACAATGTAGTGCAGGTGTAAGAGCAAAATACATTTTGCAAAGCAGATGCTAAATGATTTAGTAGAAATTTCATAAGCAAATGAAAAATTATCTTATTTTCCTTCCTTAGTAGTTCAGAAATTAATTTGATTCAAAAATCAACAATTATCAGACAGCAACTGATCTAATACATACTTTAACAAACCCAATGCTTAATTGATGATAAAAGCTAAAAAGAAAGGTCAGCTTGGCTAACACACAAGTTTTCAATTATCAGGTGACATATCTAGATGCTGCAAAATTAGCAATCTAGTTGTGAAAATGAGGGAAATGTTCGGATAAAATGGTAACCAAAGATACCACTCGTAAGTAACGATAAAATGGTTCAAATTCACAGAGTTCACTGATTTCACCATATTGGTCATTTAGCAACAAGCTAACTCTAGCTCAGCAGAGAGCCCCAAATCTAGTTTTTCAAAATAACACATCTAAGTTCATAGGCAGAGACAGCTATAAAGCTAAAAATGGATTCACTTAAACATCTAGCACATGACATCTCTGCTAGGCCAAGAAAATATAGTTTAACAACTGAAACAGGTAATAATACCTTCATTGTTGCAGGTCCTAAAATACAAAGGTCAACAATAATTTATCCATCCCAGAATTGTGAAAGATTTTGAAATAATACTGTGTATAGGGTTATGAATACTACATAAGAGATGTCGGTTCTGTATTTGACTTTTTACAAAAATTTCAAACGGCGATAGATTGAGGTCCTAAAAGATTACAACTTTCTAACTTTTTCCTTTTTTATCCGATATGAGAAATCAATATGTAAAAATTTTGACTTTCACAAATGATGTTCACAACAGGTGTTTCCCAAAGAAAATGTCGAAATAATAATGAGGTGAAATACTCATAATTTTGAAGGACATTGGCATTCTCTGGTCCATCATTTATTATGAAATATAAACTAGTTCCATACTATCACAAGCATGGTCATAGATTCACTAGCATCTGGGAATAAAAAATTATGTAGATCAAAAAGTAATCAGATCACAAAACAGGGATTGGAGCTAGAGAAAAGGAACAAACTTTAGAAATGACTTAATACTCGAGTGAGAACATAAACAATTATCCATTCCCTGTGTATATGCACCTAATAAGTAGCCTATGCCTCTATGGGCATCTTTCCAGATAAAACAGAAAAGTTAATGCATACTTAGAAGTGCCTTAAAGACCTAAAAATGACTTGCATTTTGTTGTTGAACAATCCTAATATTATTCGATTACCATAAACCATAAAGCACAATTCGAGCAGAGAAACAACTCCTCCCTGGATTATCCAATAAAACGTAGATGTAAAGTTCAAGGCTTTCTAGTTCATTATTTATACTACTATGAAATACATCTTCTTCCTATATAAATTTGAAGTACTAGCAGAATCCTTTTTCACCACTCATTTCTATTCAATACTTCAATTCCTTTCTACTACATTAATTATGACAAAAGATTAACCATTACTCATCTCAACGATAAGGTAAGAATTTGCCTAATTACGTTTCATAGTTTAGTTTTCAGTTGATCTACCATTTGCAAAGCTTTCTAAATTACACTAAATCTCATTATAAAGCAAAACGAGTACCTGGCAAACAGAGAGAGCAGTGGCACGTGCTCGATTCAATGGCGAGGTGTAAACAGAATTTAACTGAATCCCTTGCGATTTCAGGAACACTGCCAAAGCTCTGGCCTGACGCTTTCCGTTGGGAGTTAATGCCGCCTCGGGGCACCGACCCGGGATCAAATCCGGCCTCAAATTCATGTGCCATTCCCCGTGACTGATCAAATACACCACAGTGACCGTCCGATCGTCCTCCACGACATCCGAGGGGGTGGAGAAGCTCCTAGAGAACTGCGGCGGTGGAGGCAAAGGCGGAGGAGGAGCCAGGACATTGTAAGGGTCCCACACCTTGATCGATGGCCCCAATCGCGGCGTTCCGTAAGTGGACAGCTGCGGTGAAAGCGGAGAAGCCGACGCGTGGCACGGCAACATTTCGGGCTCTTGTTCTAAAATTTTCTTGACTAGATTATCATCACCCAACATTTGTCTTCTTTCGGTTTGGATATTATGTTCTTCTTCATCTTCATCTTCTTCTTGCTGTTCATCTTCAGAAGGTATCTGTATTGACTGTGAAGAACCCATTAGGAAGAGGAGAAGGTGGGCCTATTTGGATCTGAAAGACTGAAATCACCAAATCATAGAAGCATTGCATGGTCTCGCATTTGGATCATCCATGCTGTTGTTTTGAGTAGCTAAGAATGTGTGAATTGAGTGGGTAAGATCTATGGTGGTGGGAAAGTAGATCTGATTTGGGGGTAGCTGAACCTAAACCGATTCAGATTTGTTTACAAGAACTAAGTGTTTTCGGCCCGAATCGATTGAACATGACTCCCTACTGGATTATCTCCCACAAGTCCACATAGCCATGGCAATTCGAACAGTCAAAAATAAAAATAGTGGTTAATGGAATCGAAAAAAATCAAACCAATGGTACAAAAGGACGAATATGGTATTTAATTTTAGTGAATCGATTCAGGGTGGGACGGGTATAGTATTTATTTCGTCGTCCCGTCCCAAACCACTTACCTGTTAATAAAAAATGGACAATTGGGCTCTCCATTATTCTTTCTATTATAATTTGTCTAATCCAAAATTTATGATCCGTTACCGACCCATTAACTAACCTAACCTAGTTACCACTTACCCACTAAGTATTAACTATATCACAAAGAAAATTGAAATCAAATTCAACAAGACATTAGTCGACAAACGTCTTCACTCGAGTCTCTATAGTGCGTACCCAAAATTCTTTTCTTCTCCACACCATATTATTTTTTTTGCTCGCCATCGCCATGCCCAAATAGGAAGTATTTTTCTTCCTCTTCTTGTTTGTTAATTACTATTGCTGTAATATGTATCTATTTTTATTTTTGTTGAGTTTGATTATTTGATGAAATGTGATTTTTCTTCTCCACTTAAAAATTTGAATTTAATGAATTTAGTTTGCCCTAGAGATGTTAAGTTTTATTGTTGGAGGAACACAATGATATTAAAAATGAAGATTGAATATGAATTGAGGTTACAGGATTTGAATTATTTAATAGGAATCAAGTTTGATGCATAAGGATCAAGGGACAATGATATTTTTTATTATTGTTATGTTGATAATATTGTTTGTTAAATTCGGATTTATCATTTGAAAATTGAGATATTGTTTGCATTTTCATTTAGGATGTTGTTTGCTACATTGGCTTAATATTATTATTATTTTTTTGTTTTCAATGACTTTTTTTCATAAATTGTTTTTTTATTTTATTTTAACTGCTAGACATATAAATTTTTTTTTATTTTTGTGATTATTAACGACCCGAACCGAGTCAAACCAAGATATGAATTGACTTACGTGATTATAGTGCGATTATGATATGATTAGAAAATTGGTGGTTCGTGATGATTTTAGCATAATCGAACCGTTGCCAACTCTAACTCCTCATATACCTTCTAAATTCCAATTATATCCAATGTGAAAACGTATATCACCAATTGCAGCTGTTTCTTTGCCCGCTCTATTTGGGAGGATAAGTGAACATTGACATTGCTTGACATAGCGAGAATCATGACCATTAATTTTAATTACACTTATTCAGATTAATGACACGATTTTCTAAATATCATACAATGTCAAAGTTAATTTACGATAAAAATGTAGTCTTCTCTCTTAAAATACTAAAAATGCGCATAAACTAGTCATATCGGACTAAGAATGAAAAAAGAAAAGAGGTTGTAATGGATCATAAAGCAAAGTCCAAGAGCAACACTACTTACGAAAGTGGATAAGTTGTATTATTTAAAGTCAGAATTAATTTAACATTACAAAATTATTTTTCCGACATAAAAACAATTCCCAAAAATTGTTAACAGCTGGATGGGTCTAAATAAAAATATTGTCAAAGTATTTTTTCAATGTCGTACCAGGTAATAGAATCAATAAATAAATATTTTGGATTTAATGTAAAATATTCAGAATAGATCCCGTTTGGTACACATTAATGTAAAAATGAGAATGAAAAATATGGCCGTAATGAACCCCACACAAGAGATAAAAAGTCAAATATGATGGTTTGATGTGATGGATAATGGTCATATTTTTCATTTTAATAAACAAAAAATGGGAAACAAACGGGGGCTAAATCATTTTTTTTCGTATTTATAAAATGTACTTTAAACTTTAAATGCATAAAAATACTTTAACCATATGGAATTATAATCTACTAAAATTAAGATTCTTACTTAAAACGGTGATAATTCCCAAGATTTTTGAGGTTGAATCACCTTAGTTTTCCAAAATTTTCATATTATTGCACTTTTATGTCCCAATCTCGATCACATTTAAGGAGATTATTATCCACATTCTAAGTACTAAAAATTGTGAGTTTTTTATGCTCAAATTGTGGTTCTTGGGCCTTTCCGATTTAGGGTAATTTCCTATACGAATTTTATTTGTCTGCAATCATTTCTATTTTCTTGTCCAAGACAAGTTTTCTTTTTCTTTTTTTTTTCCTTTTTTTTGAGGGGGGGGGGGGGGGGGGGGGGTTTGTATTAATGGTCGTCAAACAGGGGCTTTTTGTTGTGGGGGGGGGGGGGGGGTGATGGAGTTATGAATTTGAATTCAATTCAAAACATTCCCTCCAACATTATGAACCCTTATTTGACCCTCATTATTCGGTATTATAATTTTTGAAATAGTATTTTTTGGAGAATGCGTCGTTGAAAAATAAGGAAACATTTTCATGTGTAATATTATTTTGCTCACGTTTTATACTCATTTTAATGTTTTGTTTTTTGACCACATCTTATTTCCCCATAGTAGAGGCCTGATAACACATTACAAAAGTTAGAATTTTGTTACAATGGACATAAAGAGGATAATGCCGTTGAGACTTGTAGGATTGTGTTTGCCCCAGATGCAATTGGAAATTTACACAAACGCCCTCCACCATTTTAACCCTGCCATTCCATTCTCTCCAACTTCATATTGCGTCGCTGCTCCATAGTGTTGCAACTGGAGCTTTCCTAAGAAACAAATTGACAGTGAACATGACCAAATGAACCTCCTTGTTGGGGTATTTACCGTCGAGTAGTCAGCAGTTACACCAACACCAAAGATTCGTTTACCAGCCGGCCAGTCCTTTCTTCACCTCATCTCCGTGGTCGATCCAACACCTTCATCTTCAGTGCCTTCTCTTCCATGAGCTTGTACGAAAAAGCAATCCGTTGACGATGGAAAACAAGGGATCGCAGTGGCACTATTATCTTAAACACATGGTAAGCAATTTCTTTTCTTTGAGGTTTGTAGGCCAAAAATTTTTGTAATCTGCCAGAGTGTTTCTTTAGTTCCTATTTCCACAAATGGAACTCCATCTGCACTTGTATTTTTGTTTCTTCTCGTTTCGTTAACTTTGAGCTGGTTTCGTTTTCGCACTTTTCCCCTACAGCACTATACCACTAGTAGCCCATGCCATGCCGACCGTGTGTCTTTCAACCTGTAAAAACCCTAGCCCGTGGTGCGTAAGTCTGCAAATGGGACCCGTTGGAGCACAAAGTCTTCATCGCCACATGTGAAATTGTCATTGGCAAAGGCTACCGAAAAGGCAAATGCTTTTTGACAAAAGGATGGAAAAGTATCGCAGAATTGTTCAACAGCTCAACAGGAGAGAACTGAATATATCACAGATGAAAAACTATTGGAATAAACCGTGAAAGGCTCACAAGCACGTCTTCGAGCTGTTGCAATGCATTAGAATTGAATAACGCTCGAGTAACAATAGAATCCATGCCCTTGAGCATTGGTGGGGAAGCAAAAATTAAGGTACCAGGTTTTTTGCCTTCTGCAAAACATTGTATCTCGAATGTCCATAAAAAAGGCACGTGACTTGTTTTCAAAATTATACCGGCTACATTTATGCAAGTGTTCGGCTACGTTACAAGTTCGTTTGTTAAATAAATCAATTTCATAATCATTTGCTAGAACAAAATGAGATTAAAAAGCCGTTTATACGTTTCGATATGTTCTTTCATTTGTCCAAAAAATCGAACCATTGTTTCTTAAAATTCCTAACACCGCAATGTACAAGGTTTAATTCTGAAATTGTCTATATGGGGACAATTGAAAGTTGAATAATATATAGACCTTCCCAGATGAGTACGTCTCTTTATGTTGAATGTCTATTACAAATTCTGCAAATATTGTTGAACTTAATACTGTCGTGGCAAACACTTTGCATTTCTACCGTTCGTATTGATTTTTTAATTAGTTTTCTTCCCTCTCCATTCATTCTTGATCCCCACAATCTGTCTTTTTTTGTGTTAATATATGAATTTACATTTTTTTTTTATAGACGAACATAATTTGTCACGTTCCTTGTCAATTCAGGAAAACCTAAAATATGTGAAGTACAAGAACTTAGACTGCAGTGAGATATATGACACGTATGAAAAATTGTTTGGCGACACTGGCAGCTCAACAAAGTGTGCATTGTCCCCAACGAAGTTGTCGCAATGTAGTTTTGACTTGGGCACAGATAGTGAGGTAAAAAAAAAAAAAGAGATGAAGGCTGCAAGTTGTCCATCAAGGTGGAGGCAACCGAATCCAGTGGCAGCACGTTCGAAGATAAAGTTAACTCATACATGAATATTTCTAGCAAACATAGGAAGGAGAAAGGACAAAGAAGAAAGTACAGTGCAAGCGAGATTTTTGTTTCTCTTGAGCAAATGGTTAGTGTTAGAACGGATCTTATCTCAATTGTGAAATTACATCATAAGGGAAGAATGTCGATCGGAAAGTGCATCGACGAACTTCTATTGTCTGGGCATGTGGAAGAGGGGAATGATCTTCACATGTTAGCCCTGTGGTTCCTCCGAGACAAAAAAAATCGAAATTCGTACTGCGCTACCAAGAGACTATGAACAAAATAAAGTTTTAGAAGACTTAGGAAAATTAAATATTAGCAATATGAAATACATACAAGCATCTTTATTAGAACTTGAAAGATTATATAGAAAGATACCACTACCATGGAATGATATAAAATTAGAAAAGATATAGAATCAAAACCAATAAGTGATACAATTATTAGTGCCACAATAAAGTCTATAACTGATAAATAAGAAGAATATTGTGTAGAAGAAATAGCTAGAAAGCAAATAAAGAAATTAAATTATTCTTTCTGTTTAGAATTATATACACCACAAACTTGTGATTATAGACAAAGAAAGAAAAATTATATAAAAAGGATAAAAAAAAATGAATAATTCAAATGGAAAATTATACCAATCACACATTTAATTGACAATTCCCAGTAAAACAAGTTCTAGACAATTTAATTCCCTAAAATTCTTTTTCTTTCCACCCAAAT